CTCATGAAAACCACTTGTTCCCTTCCCTAGCTATGCGAGGCCGACTCTCATGTACGTCACCGGCTCGTCGTCCGTCACCGTCACGTCCCTCAAGTTCAAGAATCCTCCGAACGTCTTTCACTCCGTGACGGGGGGGAGCAAGTCTGTCACCTATAGCAGCCTAACTATGACCGCGGCGTCCGATGCTGGGCTTGCCGTGCCTAAAAATACAGACGGTTTTGATGTGGGCTCTTCTTCGTGAGTAGACTACCTTCCTCGCATCCCAAAATATCCACTCACACAGTCATTCGCTCGCCGTGCCATTTCAGATATGTCACCATCTCAAACGTCAAAGTGACGAACCAAGACGACTGCGTCGCGTTCAAAGCCGGGGCCACCTACACCACCGTGTCTCAAATCACATGCACGGGATCGCATGGTCTCTCCGTCGGATCTCTCGGCTCTGGGTCGAGCGCGGACGTCGTGAGCAATATCTACGTCACCGGCGCAACGATGGTCAATTCGTCGAAAGCGGTGGGCATCAAGTTGTACGATGGAGAGTCGGGACACACTGCTGCCACCGTGAAAAATGTGACGTGAGTCCACTTGCTCAATCTGTTCTTATGCATCCTCCGTAGTCTGATGCGACGCTGGCATCCTTCAGGTTTGACGGCGTTACGGTCACGAACTCAGACTACGCTGCCCAAATTCAGTCGTGCTATGGCGCTTCAACGACTGCCATTTGCACCTCCAATCCAAGCAAGAGCTCAGTTACTGACGTGTACTTCAAGGTAAGCATCTCCACCCATTCACCTTCGAACCAAAGTACAGCTCGACTAACTCTTTCGGACACCACCGTAGAACTTTTCCGGCACGACATCCACCAAATACGAGCCCGTGATCACCAATCTCAACTGTCCTTCTGCTGGGACGTGCGACATATACATCTCGGGTTGGACGGTCAAGTCACCCACGGGCTCTGCAACGTATCAGTGCTCGAATGTGGATAGTTCGCTCGGCGTGACGTGCAGTGGCGCTGCGTCGGGCTAATTAGTGCAGTGGGGATCCCTGTATCCATCGTACTACCTTGACTTTCTGGGATAGCAATCGATGCTGCTTGTAGCGAAGAAGGTCTCCAATAAGAGATGTGCTTTATGAGCACCATTGCGACTGCTCAGGTTTGATGGCACTAAGAAGATTGAGAGACGCGACTGCTATCTATAACAAGACCATCTAGGAGGTCGTGACACGCTCGCTCTAGGGGGAGGAGCCAGAGCTGCCAAACGCACAACGAACCTCACTATTGGTACAATACTCCTTGAGCTCCTGCTTTTATTGCATGGACTTGCTGTGCTTGCAGAGACAGAAACATTACGCTCGACCGGAATGACATTCATTCTTGGCTAAATCCTGAGATCTTTGCTCAACTCTAGGATATTCCCGGGGGATTAGGCCAGTTTGATGGCTTCTAGATGGTCCTCATCCACCCTTCGTTCTCCTTTTTCGTGGCGGAGCCTGAGGTTCCAGGTGTCGCTGGCGCCGAGGTGGTCCGAGCCACAAAGGTACTTGTCTTGCATTTTCCCACTCGAAATGTGAAACGCAAATGTCGCACTTGTGATGAGCTGAGTTTTCTCAAAATCCGCGACTACTAATTGATATGTTATTTTCGCCACCTAGAACGTCCCCCGCGCCATTCGACGCATATGAATCAAGATGTAAGTAAAGGATCTCCCAGCATATCATTCTCACTCCGGAAAAGCCAGCTAATCCTGCTAGGTGGGTCGAAGCCTGCTGTTCTATGCATTCTCCACCTTCGGTGTTGGTCTCCTAGTACCACATGACGCCTGCGAGCTTTATCCGTCTGGAGGTCTAACATGCATCAACTATCTATCAAAAACAACGGATGATATGCTCGCGAAGGGACTCCAGTCACTTATATTGCTGTCAGTCCTCTCCAAATCCAAGCGGCTAAATATACCTCTTCTGACTGAATTAGATAGCTTTGTCATTGCCCTCCCGAAGGTCGGTTGGTTATTCTTCGTCTTCTCATCTATTGCTCAGCTCTCCCACATCGCGGATGATAAATTCATTGCGTCAACATGTGGGCCACAACGTCGGATATCTACATCTCGAGCCGGTATGCGCCAAATGCTGTGACATCCCCATGGACAAACCGCTAACTACACGAGGACTCCAAATCTAAAGTAGCCCTAATAATTGTTTGTCTCTCGTTGATGAGACAGCTATTTACATTAGTTCTGACTGGTGATGAAACAGGCCGTTTCAGCCGCTGGGGTCATCGGGTTGTCCAAGGAAATACAAAAAAAGCCCTAGGGGGCCTAAGGTTTATGTGTTTCGAGCAAATGTGCTCTTTTTTCCGCTTCCAACGATGGAAGGTACCACCTACGGGCAATTAGACCACATGAAGTCAGCTACGCCTGGCAGTCGGAGCAATGCACGTACTTTTCATACGCGAGGGCCTCCTTATCGGGTGTTCGTAGCGAAAAAGACATGACACTATTTGGATCCCTTTGACTTAACGCTAAAGATCTCGCCAGTTTTGGCCCAGCCAGGTGCATCAACCTCTCAAGCGCCTCTCGCATAGTGCTCTCTCGATCTAGCTCTATTCGCGCAACGCCAGGCACAGGAGGCAGTGGAGGCCCCCTTGATTGTAGGGGGCTTGTTGGTGAGCTCGGCTCGTCTAGTTCAACGTGCTCAACCTGGGCCGCAAGCAGTGCATTGACGCGAGGGACGAATTCAGAGATTATTGAAAGCGCATACGGCGCGCCTTTCACGATCTCCACTTGTGCAGAGTGGCCAGGGAGCGATGTGAATGTAGCGGCCATGTCGTAAGCCATCTTTGAGGTTGTGAATTGCATTGTATCCCCCTGCAGCAGAGGACATGTAAGGAGGCGAGTTTCTCTTTTAGACGAAATGGAGGCCTACGTGGATGATCAATGTTGGAGTTGTCATCTGAGCCGCTTGCTCTGGCGTCAGTTCAACACGCTGTGGACCAAAGCCTGCGCTTAGCTAGGGGAAAAGTAACGGCCAGGATATGATAAAATCACTTACCAGCAACATTAAAGGGGCCCAGACCATGCTCTTCAGTGTCTCTTTCCCTGCCCATGCCCCCCGCCAGTTGCTATATACCCGCTCAACCTCCTCGTCCTTCAGCTTAGTCTAAAGCCGCCATAAGATGCTTTTTGTCAGTGGCCAAGTCACATATAGGGCTGCAAGATGGACACAAACCTCTCCGAAGAAGATGTACTGAAAGTTCTGGAGACATTCCTCGAGCTCGTCTTCATCAGCCAGATTAATCCACCTATCAGCGATTCTATTCATCCCTTCTCGGTACTCGGGGGTCCAGCTAAGTGCGATGTGAAATCCATAAATGATATGATATGCTTCTGCGCGATAGACGAGCAGCCTTTGGGGTAAGCCACTCACTTGGCTCCGTACGAAACCCCACATATCGTAATACTTTTGCACATTTGTGGGAATAGCAACGCGAAGCGCGGCGCAACGTACGCCGCCCACGCCATTGGCGCGAATACGTGGACTGCTGAGATATGGAGGGCCAGACACAGGTCTCCCATGATCCTAGGATAGGTCACGCAAGTGGTTCAAGGTGTGATATCTCAGATGCCAATTGACACTGGGACATCGTGGAGAAACTCACGCAGCCATCGCCCAGTCATCAATCATACATGCTTGCTCTCTGTTCTTTAGGTTTGCACACTCGCTCTTCCCGTATCCGGGCGGATCAAATGCCACAAGGTTGTACCGCTGGAGAGCGGGGTCGTCAAACTGGTGGTTCAGGAAGTCGATTGAGAAAGATGCAGGTGCGACCAGCAGGATCGTTGGTCGTTCGCTATCAGGGCGAAAGGCGCAGTTGGTAGTGGACGAGGAAGCATTAGTACGATAGTAGATGTTGAAGGAATCTTTTGGGGTAGAGACTCGGATGAAAGGCATCGTATGTCACCGGCGGGGATGTCTGCGGATTGATAACGAGAGGGCAACGTGATGACCCCACAAGTGTTGCGCACAAATCTCAGCTGTCGAGGAGGTGGTGGTTAAGAGTGGTAGTAGTGTGCGCAAGCTCTCCGTGTTGCCGCAGCCACCCCGGTGGGAGGCTTTACAATATATACTTCGCATGAACGGGCCCTCTAAATTCTCCTGAGTACACGACAATACGGGAGGTTCCTGGCGCGATTGAACCGAGTGGACGACTAAGTAAGGAGAGACCGAGCGGCTGGGAAAGGTGATATTTCAATAATGAGCATCCAACAATGCACAAGGGAGGTATGGGGACGAGCCCCCGAGTCTGCGCGGAGCCGGCCCGTGAGACGATGGGCGATGCTGGATTACAGTGGCATGGGAGAGGCCAAGGTTACACCATCAAAACTGAGTGGCTCCTTTTATTGTAAGGCAGGGCGCATATGGCAAGATTCATCAGCGGCGTATTCTGCTCATGGGAACTTTGTCCATATATATTCGCGAAAATCTAGCTCATACGGCTATCAGAAACTCTACGATAAGGCATGGAGCCCATCCGCGGAAAGAACTACCAAGGCCAGGTCACATAATACGCGAAGTTTACATCATGGTAAGCAGCAAACCTAGCGAAAAGTTGACTCCGCGGCGAGGCCATTCTATCTGGTTAATGTTGACGGTTGTTTATGTTTCATGGAAACACGCAACAGTATGTCAGGGTACTGGTACATGGTACACACCACAATGACTAGCACTGTGAGATAGAATGAGATCTGGTGGGTAGTTTTTTAAATGTAGAATGTGGCTTCCCGCTGTGTCTTTGATGAGTAAACCCCACACTAAACCGTGGACACCTTGTAGCCGGAGTAGTAGAAAGATGAGGGAGTGGAATACTGTAAAATTGCTTCAATAAGCTCAAATAGGATTCCAGGTGACCTTTTGAGGGTTTTCCGGGTGAAAATGAGAGTGCCAGAGCTAATAAAATGCTAAAAATGTGAAAATTGCACCCCTGCATGAACAACGTACCTGGCACTGTGGCCGAGTGGTCTAAGGCGCTGCACTCAAGTTCTCCGTCAACTTGCCCATCATCTGGGTGTCTTGCAGTCTAGAAATAGGCGTGGGTTCGAGTCCCACCGGTGTCAAGCGATTTTTTTGATTTTTGACCTGCTGGAGCAGTTTTTTGGCCAAAACATTGCTAGGGCGCGGTCAACGGCACTACGACCTCTGTTTTTGACGAGATTTGAATGTTTCCTTGAGTTTTTCACCATGTAGTTCTTTGTTTTCTCACAAGATACAGTGCTGAGGGACAGGGGTTAGCTGTAAACACCAATTGCAATCGGCCAAGCAGTCGGTCACCGTGAACAGCTATTGAATACGTTTAATCTCTACCGGAGCGTCCGTGTGGATTGCTACACTACTCTTTTGTTCAAAAGCGGATAGATTCCCCCCCTGGCGGGCAGTGCTGGGCATGGGTATGGAGATTTTGAGCTGTGTACCAATTAGCGAAGGTTTACTACCTATGTTGTTTAACCAGATTGGCTTTAGGAGTGAGTTTGTGTTCATTATATCAGCCAGGAAGTGGAAACAGACAGTATGTACAATACTCGAGGTGTGGATCCGATTGATTCTATACCAACAAGAATCCCCATACGATCCGTTGAATCTGGGCAAAGAGCGGTTGTCGAAGAGGATATATTGAACCATCTGGATAAAAGCTCATTCAAGGCTAAATATAGCCTATCCTTGCTAATTTAAGCGGGACAGTCTGAGGCCAGCGGGGTTGTGTTCATTGCGAGGCTTAGAGATATTCGGCACCACTTTATATGAGGGGGGAGGGGGAGAAGGCGTTCCATCTAGCAGGAATACTCGGATTTTTGACGGCAGGCAATAAAATTGGGTAGCCCTTACATTGTTGGAGAGAGCAGAGGCAAACTACTGCCGTCCTCGGAGCATCGGAGAGAAAGGTATTGAGGGTTTTATAAACTCGGATAATGAGATATGTTTCTCATTGATTGGAATTCAATACAACAGAACTAGGAGAGGCTATGGTGTCTAAAGCCTTGGCCTCAAGAAGTCTCTCCATCCTGTGACGATAGGGAACCGGGGGATGTCGGAAGTTGAGGAACACGTCGCCAACAGTCGGTCCAATGGGCGAATAAAATAATCGTTTAGATATATCATGAGAATTTCTAGATGTTTCAATAGAGGATTCAACCCAAATGGGCGCCGCAAGATTCAGGACCCATTGTTTATTTGTTTGTATTTATGTACTGCCACTCCACACACAACCAGCTACGCCTTCAGCGAAGTGTAGGGAGCGAGGCCGGCAGCAGTACAGAACAACTAGGGAAGGGCAAACTGAAGCGGGCGCAGTGGCGGGGAAAGGATACGTCGGCTCTAAGAACACTGAGATGTGACGAGGCTCCAGCGCCCAAAAAATGCTATCAAGGCAGGGGCTCCAGTCCCACTAGCGTGACTGACTTGTCAAATATTGGGGGCATCTTGGGTGTCAGTTACGTCCTTGCCTGGGGGTGTGGCCGAATCGCGTTTTTGGCCGATCCATAGGCCGATATGTCCTAAATGCGCTGATCTCTTTTGATACGAGGATAAAAAAACCACTCAGTCCCCATCGAGAAGTTTCAATTCAATTATTGGCGGCTTGCTCGCGCGGCAGACTTTTTCCAATTTCCGTACGCGATTGTTGAGGGATCGGGCGGTGTGCGTGACAAGGAGTGGGTTGAAATATACATATATATTTTGAGGTGTGACGCACGCACGTTACTCGATTTCCTTCTCGCCCCAACCAAAAATCACTCCCGTACTTCCTACCCTCATCACCAATGTCTATCACCAAAGTTCACGCTATCCAGGTGCGCGTCCTTATCGTGTCTGATCGATCGCGTCTCATGTCGATGCTTTGCGATCGCAGATCTTCGACTCGCGCGGAAACCCAACCGTCGAGGTCGACCTCTTCACTGAGAAAGGTTCGCCCGCTCTCCCTTATATGCAGGCTTGAATACTACTTGGCTGACACGCGAGCGTATTTGTCCATAGGCCGCTTCCGTGCTGCCGTCCCGTCCGGCGCGTCGACTGGTGTTCACGAGGCCGTCGAGCTCCGCGATGGCGACAAATCGCAATACGTCGGGAAAGGTGTAACCAAAGCTGTTGCGAACGTTAACGACATTATCGGCCCCGAACTCGTCAAGGCTGGTATCAAAGTGACCCAGCAGACCGAGATCGACGACTTCCTTATCAAGCTCGATGGCACTCCCAATAAGGGCAAGCTCGGTGCCAACGCCATCCTCGGTGTCTCTATGGCAGTTGCCCTTGCTGCTGCAGCTGAAAAGGTGCGTTCTTTCATTTGCTGAACCGGTTCGGGAGGTTTTTTGGCCAACGCATGCCAATTTATTTCACCATACTGACACATGATGATCGCATCGTCCTTGTCCCGATAGGACATCCCGCTTTACCAACACCTTGCCGAGCTCTCTGGCGTCAAGCCACCCTATGTCCTCCCCGTCCCTTGCTTCAACGTCATCAATGGTGGCTCCCACGCTGGCAACAAGCTCGCTTTCCAAGAGTTTATGCTTCTTCCGACCGGCGCCGAGAGCTTCACTGAGGCCATGAAGATTGGTACTGAGACCTACCACACCCTCAAGAAGGTCATCAACGCCAAATACGGTATTGATGGTGAGCCTTTGTCCTTTTCCTTGACCTAAGGGGTGTGTTTAGGGCTCATCCCAATCTTTTGACACAGCTACCAATGTTGGTGACGAGGGTGGTTTCGCTCCCAACGTGTCTGGCGCCGAAGAGTCCCTCGAGCTCCTTACCGAGGCTATCAAGAAGGCCGGATACGAGGGCAAGATCAAGATTGCGCTCGATGTTGCTTCGTCCGAGTTCTACAGGGAGGGCAAGTATGACCTCAACTTCAAGGAGCCCAACGCTCCACAGTTGATTTCCGGTACCGAGCTTGCCGACCTGTACCTGAAGCTTGTTGAGAAGTACCCCATTGTGTCGATCGAGGATCCCTTCGACCAGGACGACTGGGAGGCCTGGACCCACTTCACCAGCAAGAGCGGTATCCAGATTGTCGGTGATGATTTGACCGTCACCAATGTCCTCCGTATCAAGACTGCCATTGAGAAGAAGGCTTGCAACGGCCTGCTCCTCAAGGTAAGAAAGTCGTGCACCTTGGAAGGACTTCAATGCTGAAAAAAATACCCTGCTGTTCAACAGATCAACCAGATCGGTACCGTCTCCGAGTCTATCCAAGCGTAGGCATCTGGAGCAGTCTATGCAAATCGTTGAATTCTGACGCTTGATCCTGTTGTTGTGCAGTGCTCAACTCTCGCAGAGTGACGGGTGGGGTGTCATGGTTTCTCACCGCTCTGGTGAGACGGAGAACACCTTCATTGCCGATCTCGTTGTCGCTCTTGGTGTCGGCCAGATCAAGACCGGTGCTCCCGCCCGTTCCGAGCGTGTTGCCAAGTACAATGCCCTCCTCCGTATCGAGTACGTTATCTGATAATGCTCACCTTGTCCGATGCTGATCCATTCACATTTCCTTTTTACGTCCTCCAGGGCAGAGATCAATGCCAGCGGCCACAAGGCCCTCTACGCTGGTGCTCAGGGCTTGTCTGCTGGCCTCACCCCTCCTGCTCTCCACAAGAAGTAAGCCGATTGCGGAGTTGTTGCGTTGCCCAAGTAGTTGTACCTATATGCTGTATTCCCATTTCCTGCTGCTGTACAACATCGTCGGTTGACGAAAAAATTAAATGTGAATTCACTATTTTTCTGTGATGTCTCATGCCTGCCATGGGGATGTCGTACGTTACAAGGGGTGGCGCGTGGGAAGTGTTGTTCTTGCTTGTTTGACAGCGGAAGCCGGTCTGCCTCCGTCGTCATCGCGTTCCGGCACACGACAAAGTACGACTGCGGCCACGAAGAGACAGCAAAGACAGCGAATTCGACCCTGCTGTATACCCTAGACATCGTGCCTTGATGGCACCCTTTTTTTCTAGAATAACAGGCAAAGACCGCAGTGCTAGCACTGCCGGCGCTCCAGTAAAGGGCGTACCCACAACGCCTGATTATGCTGGCTCAATCGAATCTCTCCCATCAACATCGTCGAGCACGATAAACCCATCTGCGCCCATGCCCTCTCCTCCTGAGGTGATCGTCAGTGGCGGCGAGGACGACGAAGACGACTCCACACCATCTGGACCTGTCGCACGCACCACGTCTAGTCCCTATGGTGTAACCACCTCCATGACCCCTTCTTACTCTGCAAACGGCAGTACAGGACGTAAAGCACCTCCTTCGAATATCACTGCCCCGGCTCAAGCACACAAGAGTGCTAGCCCCATGTCAGAATCCGAGTTTGGAGAGATCATGACCCCCACCGCTACCTCCCAGTTTGGTGGCAGCAATTCTCGTACGGGACTCCCGCCCCCGCCTGGGCTGACGGTAGAGGACAGTGATCACACTGTGGGTGATACCACTATACAAAATATTCCCTCGAGGAAGTCCTCCCTCGCATCCATCACACTGCAAAACAAGGCTTCAGGAGCGTCCTTGAGGGAATCAAAGTCTGCGAAAGCGAGTGAGCGTCGTGCTAGGCGTTCTTCAGTTGCCTCGAGTGACGATGGAAGCGTACACCGACAAGGTACCACTGCTACCATCACCCCGGGTACCGTGGCAGTGAACCATCCTGCCCCCAGCCCTGCTGCCTCCCAGCTGCTCAATAGGGCTAGCTCCATCCCTACATCTTCTCTCCTTGCCGCCCCCGGCAATGACATTGATAGCGCATCCATCCGTTCTGGAGTTTCCTCCTCTGGAAAAAAGAAGCGCCTGTTCTCCAAGAACAAGGGTGGCCCAGGGCCGGGCGGCATCGCCGGCGCCCTCGCTCAATCGGGAATGTCTATTGCGTACACCGGCGCTGGCATCCACGTACCTGCAGGCACCCCAGTCATGCCCGGAGCAGCAGGGACCGCCTCTCCTCCAAGGCGTACCGCGTCTCGACATGGTCCTGCCTCCCACGTGCCACGTACGTCAATCGATAGCGTGCTCCTGCCCAGACGAGAGTCGCTCTCCCAGCAGGGACCCCCACGACTGAGCGAAGATAATCCACAAACGATGAGCC